CATGCAAACAATTGAAACTCCACAGAAAACAAGAACACCCCCTACTTCATCACAAAAACCAATACCCCAGTAAAAGAAAAAGGTTCTCCTGATCCCATAGGACGAAGCCCCAGACCCAGGTTAATATACAAATCAGATCTTACCCACAAACCACACTGTTACCAATCCTTTAGAATCTAAAATCTAAAGGTTTATTCATAAAAGGGAAAAGATAGAGATGAGAGCTAGAATTGGTTAAATGGAATCAGTTACATACAGTAATGGCAAAGTTCTTGGTCTAGGCTTGTAGCGGTGATGGAATAAACTGCAGGTTCAAATCAAGTCTCTGGAACATCCCCAGCTGGGATGGGTCCTCAGTCCTTTGTTCAGAGCTTCAGTTTGTAGCAAAGTTCCTCCAGAGGTAAGAAGCAGGATTGAAGACCAGATGGAGATGAGGCATCAGCCTTTTATAGTCTTTTCCAGGTGTAAGAACACCTCTTTGTCCTTACTGTGGAAAATTACAGCAAAATAGAGTCTGGAGTCACATGGGCCAGTCCCTGCATACTCTGCTGAGTCAGGAGGCGTATTTGCCTTCTCTCAATGGGTCAGTTGTAGCTGATGGTCCTTAATGGGCCATCAAGCAGGCTAGGCAGAGCTAATCCCAGTTTGTCTGGGATGTCACCCAGAAGCATAGCATAAGTTTGAAATACAGACAGTCTAGAGCCAATATTCATAACTTCAACTACAAAATTGATACACACATATAAACAGCATAATCATAACCAGCAAAACCATAACCTTGTCTTAGACACCTCATTTGACTCCCCTTTATACAAGTTTTGGTGCCACTACAGGACTTTGGTTGCAACCATGTTCTATGTGGTCCCAGATTATATCAATAACATCACACACCCACCGGCCAGAGCTTCCCACTCCTGAGTCTTTGGCGCTTGCCTTGTCCCTCTGCAGCCCTTGTTGACCTGGGCCAGGTTGAGCCAGTCCTGTCAGGCCCCAGAGCGCGGTGACTCCAGCTCAGGTCGCTGCGCTGCCCCAGAAGCAGACGTACCCCGTTCCCAGGCCAGAAGGGATCGCTGCGCCCACCTCATTACAGGCCCCAGAGCCTCCCCAAAGAACTCCTGGGCGTTTGGATCTGACATTGTCAGTCATGGGGAATCCACCCCCCGCCTGGGGAAACTCGGCCAAAGGATAATTGCCCTTAAAAATCTATGCTTATCCCTCCCCCCCCCATACAATGCAAACTACAGAGGGAAACTGAGGCGTGTGTGGGATTCATACAAATATTACAGACAATCCCATGCTCCCAGCCAGTACTTGCTGCACCACGCTGAGGCCGGCTCAGACCAGAACTGTATTTGTCAGGCGGTCTCCGGCAGGCCTTAGGGTAGTACCGAGATGTCTGGGTTCAGACATATTCCAGCCTGGCCGAGCCAGCGCTCCACCCCAGGTCCCTGTCAGTGCCAGGTGAGAGCCCTTTGGTCTCCCCAAAGCCAGTTCTGATCCCCTCCTGCAGCCCCCGGCTGAGGTCACAGCTCCCGCCGGCCCTCAGCGCTCCCGTCGCCCTCCTGGATCCTCCACGGGGCTGGGTGGGTGTGACAATGCGGTTCAGCCGGAACCCAACTGTGAGCGCCAACACAAAACAAACTCAACAACTTGCGCAGTTACGGCCCAA